TGGCTGCTCTCCAGGCCTGTTACAGACAATGAAGATGACTGTGACTGAATTCGGCGGGGTCTGTATTGAGCCTGTAAAGAAAGGGATGCATCACGCCACAGTGTTTCTCACATATGCTAGGTCAGTGCACTGCTGCCAGTTCTCCACATTGTCTTTGATAGGCACGGCTTGTTATCCCTTTCAAAGTGATTAGAAGTTAACAATGCAGAGTGGTGGGTTTTAGTAAAGTTTTAGGATAGTTTTTCTTTTCTCAAACATAAATATTATGCTGTATTTATTTTCGACTCCAAGACTCTTGGACTTTTGAAGAGTTTCTTTGAAGAGTTCAAGACTCTTCTTTATCTTTGGAGTGGGGAATCTGCGATGACTCCCGTGGCCTTCAGCCCATGGCCCTGGCCCAGCCAAAGGAAGATGATGTGATGACACAGATGGATTTTGCCCTTTTTGGTGGAGCATTCAGTTTGCTTGGGCAACACAGCCATCTGCCGGATTACTCGCTCGAGCACCTCCGGTAGTGCCAGAACGTGGTCTGAAAAAGATCCAAGCCTGTTGTGTAGATTGGAAATACCATGGGAAACCAGGGGGGAGAGCAGGGAATGGAGCAGCCATGAGCAGTCACACAGCTTTTTGTGTTTATTAGCGTTTCCCAGCCACAGCAACGTCATCAGCAAGAGGGCCATGGCCCTGACTACAAGAGTCTCCCTGGTCTAGCAAAGACTGCAGAAGGCATCTCCTGAGGCAGCTGCCATGGGAGAGTTCACCACTGTTGAGGAAGCCAAAAATATGACTCAAACTGACCATATGCAGATGCGTAATTTTTCACCAAAGAAGACTATCAGGGCTGAAAATGCCTTCTTTCCATCAGCTTCGCTGTGCTGCTGGTGTTTGGCTGCTGAGACTTGATCTAATCAATGCTGATATAGGGAAGTTTGTCTGGCCTGGAAGATGATATTATTGAATAGGTCTATCAAATTTGTCAATGTTTTTGCTGACAATTTTCATGAATATATAACATTGAAATATGGCTCATCTACACTGACTTACTCTTTCAAGTGCTCAAAATGTTTTGAAAAAAACCTCTGTAATTTGATAGTGAGAAATGATAAAATCAGTTAGGGGGATAATTGCTAATATCCAGATCTTAAAAAGGGAATATAGGGATTGAAGAATAAAAAATAAATAGGCAAACGAATAAACAAGATGAAAACTCCTTGATTGCCCTGACTCTGAATGCAAAAATTCCACTGAAACAGCCAACTTCTTTATGTATATAATGGGGAAATTCAAGAAATCATAAATCATGGGACTTTCAGCTCAGACATTACATTCCAAAACATACATTACACCTAAAAAAATTTAAAATGTTCTTTCATGGAGATTGAAAGATAAAGTATATTTCTACTGGATTTGAGGGAAAAATCCTACCAGTTCATTTACTGAATAAAACTTAATCTTATTTCACAAACTTGATCAATGTCAACAATCTGCCATTTGTTGAGAAGAGTGAAAATCTCCCCAAGTCTAATAAATACTTTGGGATTTCAGAAAAATGAGAGGCCAGAATTCCACAGAGTGGCACAAACACACATGCGTACGGATGCTGTGCTGACATGTGTTGCACACGCAGCCATGGCAAGAGTGGACTGGTGAAGCTGGAGAGGTGGACACTCCCCTTGCACTGGCTTTGCTGAGAAAGGGGACACTGCTTTTCGGGTGTCTGTGACATCAGTCAGGCATTTCTGATGCTAGAGTAAATCTTGCCTGCGTAAAGTAAGAGCCGTTAAAAAACCAAGGCGATGCAAACTTAATGCAAAGATTTATGCTCCAAAGGAACGAGTACTCTCGGTTTTGCAAACTGAAAGATTTGTGCATTATTTGCAAGTATGAACAGGCTTGAAAGAACAGGAAGGAGCAAAGACACTGGTTGAACAGACGGTTTTAATAGTTCAATATGAAAAAAATCAGCTGGGTGTTGGGATTTGTGGTTGTTCACAAAGCTGCTGCCTTCCTGGGATCCCACATTGAGCATGCTGGGGTGTTTATGGAAAAACCCACACCACTCAGCTACCACAGTCTCTGCAAAGAGCATTTGGTACTGCTGTATTAGCATAAGTGACAACATCAGTTATGCCCACTGCTATTTTCTCCGCTGGGAAAGTCAGTCCATACGAGTCAATGTTGTTAAAAGTGTGAAGTGCTCATGGTCTTGGAGATTTTTAATGCCATTAAATGGTAGAGAACAAAGGTATTCTCTGGAAAGGCTCAGGCTCAGGGAATTTGCTTCAGAGGCACGATGGCTGAGGAACTGCTGCTTTTTCACACAAAGCTCCCCACGGTCAGGGCAGCATTTTCTTCTCAGGAGATAGGAAGGTGGCAAAAAGTAGCACATACCACATGCCTATAATAGCCATCATCAAATGTTTCTGCACTTGAATGAACATGAGGACAGCATGGAGCTTCCTGCCTGGCAAACACTGAAGCCTGAATGTTCACTGAGCCTCAGCTTTATACTGCTGTCTTCCTGTTCACCAGCTATTTATGAAAGGTTGGAGTTGTTACAGGTTTTTGACACAGCAGTCGCTTTCCTCTAGGGTCTTCTGGAAGGGTTATAGTACAAACATCTGGGGACACTGGAGGCATGTGGATTGCCCTGCATGAACTTGCAACTTTCACTCTACATGCTATCACCATATGTAAAAATGAAAAATTTAAGCATGAATAATAGTTAGGTGCACAGAAAGAAGACATCAGCTGGTGCAAGCGAAGTGGTTCAGGTTAAATCAATGGGTAGTACCTGATGAAACACACTCAGGGGACACAGTCGCTGCCCTTGAGAAGCCCATTGGGGCCTGAGCCATACCAGAAGCCTTGAGAAGCTGCTTGCTAAGGTGCAATGATGGTGTGTCTCTGTGCCAAAAAGGTACTTACTGGATATCACTACTCATTCAGGATGTCTCCATCTCTCCCACGGCTCTAGGGGAGTGAGGTGCCCTGTATTCTCTCCACAGGCCCCTGTCATCTCTTGCTGGAACATCTGTTCCCATACTCCTCACCTCTCGTCTCTCAGAGACCATCTCTACTACAGACCACACTCCTCTGTGCCATAGTTCTGCCCTCCTCCCTGACCAGTAATCCAGTTTCCTTTTGTGTTCCCTGCTTGACTCCCAACCCATGCAAATGTTTTGCTGCAATCAATTGTCTTCTACTCACCATCTCCCCTCTTAAGCGTGGGCTAAAATATAATCTCTCTCCTAAGCAAGAGCTGTTCTCTTTCTCCTGCCCACTTGCACTGAAGATGCCCTCTTTGCACCTCTTCCTCCATGACCTATGACTTGGCTTTCTCTTGTCATCACTGTGATCTCCTCTTCCCTAACCCTCAACCTGCCTTTCCTCCCTTCTTGTTACAACTGAGTTGCTTCATGCTGAAATGTGCTGTCTCCTCTCCAGGTGATGTGGGTCAATGACATCCTGAAGTCAAACCACTAGACAGCAGCAGAGTAGGACAAGTTGCACAACACTTAAAAAGGGACTCTAAGCCTTCATCTTGGCTTGGGGATGCTTGTGTGCTCCTCAGTTCTCCAGCAAGGAAGATGAAGGATTTAACACAACAAAATTACTTGCCCTTATTTCTAAGTTAAAATAAATACTTTTGGTCTACTTGGCTGTATCTCCTGCCCATCACAGGATATAACCCCAGCCCTTCCAGCCTTTTCAGAAAATTGACTGCTGCCTCCCAGAAAAAAAGCTGAGAATAATCAAGGGTTTGGAGGAAAGAGACTGAAGACTTTTCTCTCTTTGCATGACTCTCTCTTCACCCATGGCAGGGCTCCTTGGCAGTAGAAAATACCTGGACCATGGCTCACCTTTGATATTTTGGAAATTAATCCCAGCATTTACTTTCCATAGAGATTTCTACCCTTTCTGCTTTGTGCTGCAGCCACCCCCAACACCTAGCACTCCACTGCCTCACTGAGACATCATTTATTCATAGCTCTATGTTTTAAACATCATGAACCATTTTTAAGCAGGAACAGAACAATCATTGCTAATGGCTGGGTACCCTATTAACGCAGGGACATCATGCACAACGGGCCCTCACAAGAGATGACCACCTGAATTAACTACTGTCACAGGACTCTCCCGGTAAGAAATGTTAAGACCTGTGAAGCCATCAGCTGGATTTCACCTAAGTCATGCAGCAAGCTTCTCAGGTAAACCCAGCAATCTGCACCTACTCTTTCTAAATACTTTAAAAACACAAAAACATCACAACGTTAAGCAAAGACTGCATCACCTGACTCATTTTCACAATACCCTCCCAAAGGCTTGAATTCTCAGTGCAAGCTGTGAATATTTGCATGCACATGCACACGCACACCCACTTTCAATTTCTAAATCAAACCTCCCAGGCAAAGGGTATAAAATACGTCTCCCAAACCTGACTAGTATTTACATGTTTTTAATTTCAAACACTATGGAAGGGTATTCAGCCATTATATTTTATTGCAGCTTCTAAATAAATTAAAACCATTTATCACTTAAAAAAATTAAGAACCTTATTAACTTCATAAACACCAACAGGTAATATTATCTATTATGGCAACGTTTCATGGTATCACAGCTATGCTATGCTCTGGATTTTCACTTTCTTAAACCATTATATTGTGACCAAAAAATGCATAATCTAGTGCACTGATTCAATAATTTTCAATAACGTCTGCTAGTTCTGGCAAATAGTTTACAGTATGTATTTCCATTGTCATAACAGGTTATAATGGCCAGAATTTTGACAAAATTGGCACATTGACAAAAATGCAAGAAGTCCATTTATTAAGAAGAAAGAGAGTTCTAGCAAAAGAAAGAGTAATGCAAAGACAGTGTTTTCTTAAAGGAAACCAAGAAAACAAGACCAGAAGATGAGGAGACCTCACCTTAGCAAATGAAGGAGAAAAGAGACACAGTTCCTGCAAATTGTGATTCTCACAGAATAGGAACCGTACCTGCATAATCTGTTCTTGCGTAATGCCCATCTTCCGATTTTGTAGTTGTTGTAGTATTATCTGTGTGGAAAGAAATACGTTGAATTGCTCAGGGAGCCTGTACTTGTTACAGACTGTGCCCCAGCTGCCAGTGCCCAGGCAAACCTAGCTTCACTTGCGTGCACAGCATCATTGCTGACTGCAAGGCTCCCTTGGGTCTGCCAGGTGAAAACAGCAGGATCTGGCTTTTTGGAATGAAATGTGAAACATCTTCCATTAAGAAAGCACATTTTTTTCTAACAATATGTGATAACAGATTGCAGCTGGGGTAAATATATCAGTATGAAGCAGGAGCTGTCATTTCTGCTTTACTTGAAGTAATCGGGGAGTTTTAATATGTACCCTGAAATGAACTGCCACGTAGGGTGGTTAACTTTAAAAAGATAGGAATAAACTAGAATATGTTTAACACACCAGTATAGTACCACCTTGTAAGTAGATGTACTCAGGATTTATAGGTCAGAAGCTAAAGGGGAAAAAGCTATTAAGAGTCTGAGCCTCAGCAAACGCTTTATTTACAGGAGCTATTTAAAGGCAAATTTTCTTCATTTTTATTTTAGAACAAAATAGACTTTTTAAAGTCAACTCAAGGGCTACAGGTGATGTAGTAGCCCATGAGCTGGGCACAGAGAAGCACGGCACTCATGGAGAAACACAGAGAGTCCTGAGCTGCTATTGGTAAAATTTCCTTTCCAGGCACCTTTGGCATCTTGTGGGCCCAGCGCAGGTCACATGAGAAACAAGCACCAGGACTGTGTTTGGGAGCACGCCTTTGGTCTCCTGAGATTGCTTTGTGCTGCTCCAGTTAAGAGAGCAACAGAGAATCTATTCTGGGTGGCAAAATATGTCTGAGGGGCTGTCCTGCCCTGACTCCTGCTTGGAGGGCAAGCTGCTCTGGGAAAAATCCAGGTGCCCGATTTTGACAGCGGTGCAGGACTGGACAGTCCCCAGCCACTGTGGGCAGGGTGTGGGAAGGGTTACGTGCATCACCTCTCGCTCTTCTCTTGGCATCTGCCCCCTGCTGCAGCCTGCGTTCTACAATACAAATTGCAAGAGTCTAATGGAAATGTGAGAAGTGCCAAATAAGAAGCCAGCCCTGCTTCTCCCCCCCTTTCCCCCCCCGAACGAAAATTGAAAGCATTCTTTGAAATGAGTTTTGTTATGAGAGTTACCTTGACATCGACCCAAAGACATGACTTCAATTTTCTCCTGTTTCTGGCATGATGCCTCTTTGATTTGACATGCATTATCATAAGATTTCCCATCGGAAGCACAAAGAGGATTGAAGCTGGTTTGAGAACAGTCAATGTTGCACACACACCTGAAGATAAAGAAAGAAAAAAAATAAGAGGCTAATATGAGAAAGTTTATTCATGACATCATAAATACAGCTCAGAAATAAGTGTTTGTATTTTCCTGACTGCACAATGGAAATCAACAGAATGAAAGTGGAAAGTTCTGTCAAGAGGTCATTTGTATTTCTGGATGGAAATGAAATGTGGGGAGAAGGAAGAGATACAGAGAAGAAAAGCAAAGAAAATGAAAGATAAAAAAAGAGAGTTAAACACAGAAAACTATGCCACAGCATTACCACTAGTAATTTCTTGTAAACCAAAGAACACCCAAGCCGATATGTAGATAATTCAAGCTGCTGTGCCCTCTTGCAATTAAAGAAGCCACAAAATTCACCTTTGTTGAGGTACTGCCCATCATATGTAGTACTGTAAAAATGTGGGTTTATATTGATTTATGATTTAATTGTGATAGTAATTACAGCACCTATAGACACTCTGTACATAAAAAAAAGATGTGATATTGAAGCCTCATCCCATCCTACTGGGATAAAACCACCTGCCAAGACTGAGACTGCCAATACTGATGCGACTGTACTCGGCTCTGTGCTCAGGGGCGGTGGGATCTCCCTTGGCTCCTGGATGCAGTGGGTCTAACTCAGCATTAAAACCAGAAGAATGCTGTTTTTAGGAGAGACTTTGTGTACAAGCACTTTCTGAAGCATTTGAATCACTCAGCAACCAAAAAAGCCTTACCCAGGAAGGTCAGTGCCCACTCTTGACTTTGCAATGTGCTCTTTGTGGGGCGAAGGATCCCATGGCAGACAGTAGAACGTGGGCAAGCACGGGCAGGGCAGCAGTGGCCCTGTCCTTGGGGAACTTAGGAGCATCTCCAGAGCCACAACAACCCAGCTCATGAGCTCCTGGGCTGTCCTGAGACCTCAACGAGAAACACAGCAGTGGATTCACTTGAGGTCTGGATCTGAACTAACAAGCTAACATGGACACATCCTGACCCCAGCAAGCCTCACCATTGCTCAGAAGATGAAGGAGCCTAACTAATTTCACCAACAGCAGGCTGCAGCCTTTTTTCTTTAGGTTTCTCCTATTTCATTACTATTAGAGATGTCAGACATCCTTGGGCATCGGCAAGGGAAAGGCATGCTAATCTTCTGTCCCCCGACTGTGCCACGTATCAGACAGCTCAGCCTCAGCAACGCTTGCGTTAACACCAGTGCGATCCTGCTTGGGGACAAAGCCAGAGGTCTAACCTGACAGCTGCTTCGGCTCTTCTGAGCACGTAATTGCGCACACGCTGCTGTCTAAACTCTTCCTGGCTCCTTCTGACATTTAAGGCAAAGTAATGTGACCGATGCTCTATCTCCAGCCCACTGGCTGTGCTGAACCTCACAGCGCTGGCTCCACAGCTCTCCCCTTGGAAAGTTAAGTAATGGAAATGTCAGCCTCTAGACTCACTGTTTGATTTAAGAAAGTGTTTAAAAGTCAGTTCACCTCCCATTGGCAGCAGACATCTGGACACCTTCAACCACTGGAAGCGCAGAGGATATATGCAAGAGGAAAACTTTGGTGGAAAGAGGAAGCATAGGAAATTAAACCAGCGTGGTTTAGATTTCTGCATCACCCACTTTGTCCTCTAGCCTCCGAAACATGCCCAGGGTGGTGAAAATCAGTTGAACCTGCACTCATCTCCTTTTAGACTTTCTTTATATTGGGTAGGTCTATTTTCCCCAGGCGTTCACAAAATACAGAACACTTGAGCTCAAAAAGAGGCCAAAGGTGAAAAGCTGTAGTTCCAAGTGAAATTACATGATTTCACAACCAGTGATCTCATAACTAGTGGAAGAAAAGAGTCTGGCTCCCTATGTAACAATTTCCCCACAATGATGAACATACAGAATATAAGGAAAAAAAAAATCCAGTCCATTTCCTAAGAACCTCCTTATCAGCAGAATAAGAATGTTTTGCTCCACCGAAATATTAACTGTTATAATTTCTTCCCGCAGTCGTTTCCAACTTCCCACCTTAGCCAAACTCACTTCATTAGGAAACATTTACTGCTCAAGTAATAGTAATTCTTTCCACGTAGCTCCACCATTTGCATTTCAGATGGGACACAATCAGCCATATGCTCCTTTTTTTGTAATAAAACTGCTCAGAAACAGCTTCCCTTCTCTACATTTTGCTACAAAAAATGAGTGTAGGTTAATATATATTATGTCTTGAGTCAAGAGAAAATTAAGTCAATGAGAAAATTAAAACAAAAGGGATCTCTTTAGGGGAAATCTAAGCAACTTTGGATGCAATTTCAAAAATGCCTAGGGGATGTAGGAACCTATGCTCACATTTTGGCACTTAAGAGACATATTTTTAAAGGTGTTTAGATGCTTAAAGATGCATGCAAACACTTTGTGTGGGATTTCTGAAATCTCAGAGACCTATCTCCCACTGATTTCAAAGACCATTTCAGAGCCCATTAGGCATTTATTTGCATCTTTTGATACCTTCCGAAAAACCAAAGTTCCAAAATTACTTTTCTGACCTCCTTTAGTAAAAGTGAGAAGAGAAACAAGATTTTTCTCAACTCCATTCTAAAATCTTAACCGCCAAACCAGCCTTTCCTTCGAAACAAGATCTCTGTAGCTGCACACTGCACTAAGAGGATGCACCACACAAGCACCACGAACCACACACTACTTGTGCTGATGCCAGATTGCTCGTGTGTGAGGGAGAGCAGAGAGGGACAACCTCAGGATGACACTACATGTTCAAGTCTTATGGGATCTCCTGTGTGAAGCCTGATTTTCAGGGCTGACCATATGGGCAGTGAAAAAAAGACTACAATAAACTGGTCACCCCAATCTCCTCGCTGCAAGGATCTGTGCATCATCCATCCCTTGCACAGTTTTCAACGGACAGCTTCTAGCTTGCCTCTGCAGTTTCTTACTGCTTTTGTACCTACATACCGAAATAGTACTTTAAGGCTGCACAATTAAGTCAACATCAAATATATGTCAGGAAATGCTTAGAGTAGGATTGCATCAGGAAGATTAATGTGCCTGGGTTGCTGACTCTGTTTAATTTATAGTGCTCATCTTATCAGGGAAAATGATGGTATATTCAAACATGTTTTTTCAAACTAGAGGAACTAGAGTTTGCCATTTTAACCATGCGCCCCCAGGTCCAGAAGAGTAAATTACAGAAAAAGAGGTGGGACATTTACTCCAAACATACATGGCCAGGCACATGCAGCCACAGAGTATGTATCATCCTTAAGTGGGACCCACCAGCGGTGTAATAAATACAAAATGCGCAGCACTTAATGTATTTGATTGAATGAAATTCTTTAGCCATACGTAAAGGTGCCTTCACTTCTTGAAGCATTATAAAATGCAGAAGTTGCACGGTCTCCTATTAAACTAGCAGAACCAAAACTGTGGCATCCCTGCTTGGACCCCAGTGCATACATTAGGTGGGAGTCCTAATGGTGTTCAAGACTTCAGATCCTGTGGGACACAGAAATCCTCTACCCTAAAGCAAGCTTTGCCCCAACACTTGTCATGCCAAGAAATCCTGTCTTGCTCCTAGCTAGCACTCAGCGCTGGTGCTTCCCCTCCTACACTCAACCTGCAACCTGGCCATACCCAGGTTCTGCCCTGTCACCTTCTCATTCTTTCACAAGTGACAAAATAGGAGTGGCCTCATCTCTTTTGGTTGTTGGCTACACCAGCCCCAGGGCTTCTCCTGGGTTCCCCGGCCTGCATGGGGCTGGCAGCCCACATCCTGTTGCTATGTGACTGGCTGGCAGGCCCGCTGCCTGCCTGCAGCAGAACGGTCCCTAAGGCACTTCAGTATGCCTCTGATTTTAAGTAATTCGAACATGTGACCATTTTATCATCCTGGCTATGACTTCTGATTATAGTTATATCGATAAATCTATTTGGTTTCTGCGATCGTAAGTGTAGCACTGAAGAAAGCTTGGCAATATAATGGCTGACTGAGCTTTCCTCAGGCTCAAGAAGCTGTGAGAAGGTCAATGAGGTCTCCTAGGGGGTCACAGGATGAAACTGCACCCAAGAGCATAGACAAAATACATGTGCAAGGTTTAACTATGCCTTCTGCAGTCAGAAAAGCAGCTTTAAAAGCATCTGTGAGGAAGAAGTGCTTCCAAGATGTCAGCCAATACCCCAGAGCTCCCCCGAGAGAGGAAGAAATACTGAGTGCTGTCCCCACAGGCCCATTGCATCTTTCAAGTAATGGGCTCATATGTTAATTGATTAAAATTTGGGCTGTCACTGTAAACAATCATTAAACAAGGCTCACTTTCTTATATCTATTCTTCCAGGTCATTATGATAGTCTCTGATGAATTCCACTTCCTTTATATGCTTTATTTTATTCCAGTTCATTTCATATGATGAAAATCTCTGAGAAGCTGAACATCCAGCAATCCACTTTATTTTGGTGATCATGAAAGGAGAAAAATCAAAGCAAACTAAAAAGGCTGTTCAATGGGCAACCCTAGGCACCTCCTTGGGGGATGCTGTACTAACTCCCCCAGGTGCATCCTACAGCATCGCTCGGTGACACAGCTGGACCCTCTGATAAGAACATCGCGCCCAGGCAGAACTGGAAGTTCTCTGCAGACAGAGGTGCAGCTCTGCAGCTAAAATGCTGGAGAAGCCCCCAAGGATGCATATGGGAGGGCTGGCAGAGCTGAACTAAGCCTGAGGCAGGTGAGATGCTTACAGGTACCTCCTTGTGCCTCACTGCTGACTTGTGGGGCGCAAGTCACTGCACTTCAGTCTTTGAGCTTCTATCAAGGCAGTAACTGCAATAAATATACTAAACAGCACAAGGGAGCCCATGTGCATTTTGGGAATGGTTGCTACTATTTCACCTGTGTAACATGTTGCTCCCCTTTCAGGGGAAAGAAAGAAGAGCACAGAAGTAAACCAGCAGTTATTTCCTGTACAGATCTTGGCCAAGAAAAAAAGGCTGTCCAGACCTCA